TGGTTTGGTGGCAGCGTAAGTTCTTAGGGATTGAATATCTGGGAAAGATTTTAATTCTCCCTCGCTGATGAATCTTAACCTGGCTGAGTAGGTGATTCTTGGTTGAAATTGTTTATCTTTTAGGACTTTGAAGATAGGGCTCCAAGCTCTCCTAGACTGCAGGGTTTCTGTAGATAAATCTGCTGCTATTCTAATTGATTTTCCATGGTAGGTGATCTGGCCTTTTTCTCTTGCTGCCTTTAGGATTTTTTCTTTTATGCCTACTTTGTTTAGGCAAATTATTATGTGTCTAGGAGTTGGTCTTCTCATTTGTTGTCTTGCAGGGTTCTCTGAATCTCTTGTGTTTGAATTTTTGCATCACTGATTAGATAAGTGAAATTTTCTTGAATGATCTCATGGAAAGTTTGTTCCAGTGTGGTCTCTGTCTCTCTTTCTGCCTCAGGAAGGCCAATTACTCTTAGGTTCGGTCTCTTGAAGTAATCGCTCATCTCTTGAAGGTTTTGTTCTGTCTTTTTCAGCTTGTTTTCTGTGTTTTTAAGAGTTTGGGTTAGTTCTATATTTTGGTCCTCAAGCTCTGAGATTCTTTCTTCTGCTTGGGTAATTCTGCTTTCCACGCTTATCATTTTGTTATTTATTTCATTCACAGTATTCTTTATTACTGTTATCTCAGATATCAGCTCCTTCCTAGTTTCTTCTTGTGTCCCCTCAATTCTTTTTAATCTCTCCATTAATGTATTAGTATCTAGGTTTGTGGTTTGAGACCAGTCAATCTGGGGGCTTTTCATTGTTTGCATTCCAAAGTCAGTTTTCTCAGTGTCTGCCCTCCCAGGGGTAGGCATATTCTTCTTTTTGTTTTTCTTCATTTGTGTAGATTTTTCTCTCTCTCCCCCTTTCCCTCTCTTTCTTTAATTCTGTTTTCCAGGGATGGTGGGATTGCTTTTATTTCACTTGTGTAATTTCCTGTTCTTCCTTATGAGGGTCCTCTGGCTTTGTTCACTTTTAGGTTGTAGTGTGGGCTGCGGGCTGTACTTTTTGCAGTTTTGTGGTTTAATTGAGGGGGAAGCTGTGATTCAGAATCTATATGCTAATTCCAGCATCCACCAACAGGTGTATGAGCACTGGAACCTATTTCTCACTGCCTTACAATCTGTCTGTGCAGCAGTATGTAGGTTTGGTCCCCGGATCAAAAGGAGGTACGAAAGATGAAAATAATGGAGGAAGGGGGGGTCATAGGAAGTTAGAAAGAGAAGAAGAGAAGAGTGAGAAGACATCCATACCAACTAACAGGTGAAAAAGAGACACAAGCCCAGAGAGAAGTGAAAAAAACACAGAAGGAAAATTCCCTAAAGAATACTGGTAGCTACACAGAGACAGACCAATAAAATCATGAAACAGATAGTGTAAGTCAGAAAGCAAACAAAAGTGAGCCAAACAAACAGTCAGAATGATAAAATCAAAAGTCAAAATAAGAGATCAGCCTAGCTCTGGAATCTTTCCTGAGTGTCTAAAGTCACTTCAGCTCTGATCTCCAGCCCCCTTTGTTTTTGTTGCAGGCAGCTAGATTGCTGCCTGGGAGGTCTGTGATGCTCAGTTTTCTCTGTATGTTCAGCGTAGGGGAGGGGCTTTGTCTCCTGTTTAATGACGTTACCTTAGGAACCAAGTTGGAGGCTCTGATAGGTAGACGGGGCAATGCAAATCTGCCTGGAGAATGACTGAGGTGGCAGCTTTACTTTCAGGGATATTTTCTCTCCACTCATCTGGGTCTCTGGGCGAGAGGCACCGGGGATCAGCTGCACAGCTGGGTGCTGGATCCAGGGTGTCACCAGCAGGCTAGGGTGGAGGAGAGGGTCGGGCATTCCCTCCTCTGGAGTTGGGAGCCTCCGATCAGCACCTTACACAAGCTTGGGGTTCTGTTCCCTTACACAAGCTTGGGGTCGCGTGCTGAGTGCCTCAGCCAGGGTGGGCCCAGGGCTCCAGAGCTCCAAAGTTCCAAAGGGCAGGCGGTGGCCCTGGGTCCCTCACAGGGTACTTCCGCTAGAAATGGGATCCGTATCTCTGAGGGTCGGGTGCCCAGAGCCTCCCTGGGTGACTGGCAGCTTGGTGCTGGGTGCTGGGCAAGATGATATAGCCAGGGACTGAGCCAAGACCCGGGACTCCCGCGTGGGCAGAAGTCACATATAGTGGAGCAGCAGCAGCCGGGGGCCCCCTTCCTCCCAGGCAGCAGGCTAGCTGCCTGCAACCAAAACAAAGGGTAGAGGCTGGAGATCAGAGCTGAAGTAACTTTAGACACTCAGGAAAGATTCCAGAGCTAGTCTGATCTCTTATTTTGACTTTTGATTTTATCATTCTGACTGCGTGGGGCTGAAGGTCCCCGGGCCTCGTACCAGTGTGGCTGGTGGTGGGCAGTGGGCTGCGGGAAGAAAAGTAAGAGTCTTTTTGGGAACTCACGTTCAGAGTGTCTCACAAATCCACCTATGCCGTCGCCATCTTACCAGAACTCCTCCTATTTCTATTTAGAAAAACATTTAGCCTCTGTGAGTCCAGTTTACGTCACCTCTAAAACAAGGGTTTAAACCAAATGACTTCTAAGCAAGCCTCTAATTCTAAGAGTGTATGGATTCTAGAAATATTATTTCCATGCAGAAGCAAGGGACACCTAATAGGTTTTATGTGGGGAAAAAAATTCTAAATTATGCAAAGCCTTTAATACACTTAATAGCACTCAAGTATTGTTAGTACTCTGGATACTTCATGAAATTTGAATTTTTAAAAATACATTTTGGAAAAGAGTGCAAAAAATGATGTTAATGCACCCTTCTGTCATTGCTTTGATTAATTTTTGAAATTCTGTTTTTAGGTTTGACTGTGAAAAGCTGATTCTTGTCGGGGACCCCAAACAGCTGCCTCCTACTATTCAGGGTTCTGAAGCAGCTCATGAAAATGGGTTGGAACAAACACTTTTTGATCGGCTTTGCTTAATGGTACACACTGCTAAATTCTTCCAGAATTGTCATTTATTGGTTATGCACTGTTTGTATGTATATAGGGGGAGGATAGAGAATGAAAATACTGGAAGTCCTAGTTGCTGCCTTAAGATAATTTATAATTGGAGTTGTTTAGAAAGTACTCACAGATAAGCAGAACTCTATAATTTAAGTGCCCCTTTATAAATAGAATCTTTTCCCTATGTGCTTTAGTGGTGAGCAGAATTATATTGCTTTGCACTAAAACAAACAAACAAAAAAACCTATAATGCCTCTGTTGACTCCGTGATGCACGACTTCATATTTAAAGTCTTTAGAAAATTATTATTAACATATGTTTAAATTGAGATGGAATTGACTGTTTTAGTTCATTTTGTGCTGCTGTAACAGTATACTGAGACTGAGTAACTTGTAAGGAGCCAAGATGTACTTCTTGCAGTTCCGGAGGCTGGAAAGGCCAAGAGCAAGGAGTCCCCCTCTGGCAAGGGCCTCTGTGCGCCTCATCCATGGCAGAAGGTGGGAGGGCAAGAGAGGGTGTGAGCAGGGAGGAGGTCGGCGCCAAACCCATCCTTTTATAAGGAGCTCACTCCCCTGATAACAACATTAATCCAATTATGAGGGCCGGATTCTCATGGTCTAATTACTTAAAGTTCCTGCCTCTTGACACTGTTCCATTGAGGATTAAGTTTCTAACACAAGAACTTTGGGGGATACGTTGAAACCGTAGCACCACTAACATAAAACTAACCACATGAATGTAAACGATTCAGTGGCATTTTGTATGTCCACAGTGCTGTACAACTACTACTTCTGCCTCGTTTCAAAACATTTTCCTCACCCCAAAAGGAAACGCCATAGCCATTTAGCAAGTTACTGCCTATTCTCTCTTCCCTCTAACTTTTGGCAACCACTATTCGACTTTTTGTCTGTATGGATTTATTTATTTTGGGTATTTCATACATATGGAATCATACAATGTACGACCCTTTTTGTCTGGCTTCTTTCACTTAAGACAATATTTTTGAGGCCTCCATGTTGTAGCATGTATGATTACTATATTATTATTATTTTAAAAGTAGTTTCAGCTGGGCATGGTGGCTCACACCTGTAATTCCAGCACTTTAGAGAGAGCCTGAGCCCAGGGGTTTAAGACCAGCCTGGCCAATTTGGCAAGACCTCATCTCTACAGTAAATACAAAAATTAGCCAGGCTGATGGCATGTGCCTGTAGTTCTAGCTACTTGAAAGGCTTAGGTGGGAGGATCACCTAAGCCCAGCTGGTCAAGGCTACAGTGGCCGTGAGCATGCCATTGCACTCCAGCCTGGGTGACAGTGAGACTCTGACTCAAAAAAAAAATTATATTCATAATACTGTATACCATCACCTATCCATTTCTAGAACTTTTTCATCATTCCAAATAGAAACTTTGTACCCATTAGGCAATAATTCCCTATTCCTTCTTCCCCCACCCCCAGGTAATCTCTATTCTACCTCCTGTTTTCATGAATTTACCTATTTTAGGTTCCTCAAATGAGTGGAATCATACAACATTTGTCATTTTATGTCTGTCTTATTCACTTAGCATAATGTTTTCTTTTCTTTTTTTTTTTTTTGAGTTGGAGTCTCAGTCTGTTGCCCAGACAGGAGTGCAGTGGCTGCTCCCGGCCACCACGGCCTCGACCTGCTGGGCTCTGGCGATCCTTCCGCCTCAGCCTTCCAAGTAGCTGGAACTACAGGTGTGCGCTACCACGCCCGGCTAATTTTTGACTTATTGTAGAGATGAGGTCTCACCAAGTTGTCCAGGTGGTTCTCGAACCCGCGGGCTCAGGCAGTCCACTCACCTCAGCCTCCCAAGGCGCGGGATTACAGGCTGAACCCCCGAGCTTGGCAGCATAATGTTTTCAAAGTTCATTCATGTTATAATCTGTATCAGAATTTCATTCCTATTTAAGGCTGAAAAATATATTCTATATATGTGCTACATCTCTGTTGATGGATATTTGGGTTGTTTTCACCTTTTGGCTATTGTGAATACTCTACTATGAACATAAATTTACAAAAATCTGTTCAAACCCCTGCTTTTAGTTCAGTATATACCCAGAAGTGCAATTGCTGGGTCATATGGTAGCTATATGTTTAAATTTTTGAGGGAACACCAGACTGATTTCTATAGCAACTGCACTCCTTTACCTTCTCAACAGCGATGCAGTGTTCCAAATTTTTCAGCACTTGTTGTCATTGTTTTAATATCATAGCCATCCTAATGGGTGTGAAGGAGTATCTCGTTGGGGTTTTCCTAATGACTAATGATATTGAACATCATTTTATGTGTTTATTGGCCATTTGGCCATTTGTTTTATTTTCTTTGAAGAAATACCTATTCAAGTCCTTTGTGCATTTTTTAATTGGATTGTTTGGTTTTTTTTGTTGTTGAGTTTTTACGGGTTTTAAAATGTATATTCTGAGTATTAATCCTTTACCAGATTTATGGTTTGCAAATATTTTCTTCCATTCTGTTGTTCATCTTTTTTGTTTTTTTGATAGTGTCCCTTGATGTACAAAAGTTCTTGATTTTGATAAACTCCAGTTTACCTAATTTTTCTTCTGTTGCTTGTGCTTTTGGTGTCATATCCATGAAATTGTTGCCATTTTCAATGTCATGAAGATTTTTCCCTGGGTTTTCTTCTAAGAGATTTATAATTTTAGTTCTTATGTTCAAGTCTTTAATACATTTTGAGTTAATTTTTGTATATGGTGTGAAGGCAAGAATCCAACTTCATTCTTTTGTGGGGGCGGGGGCGGGGGTGGGAGTGAGAGCGCTCAAGTGCATGCTGTGGTCTTTTTTCCTTTCTTCTTAGGACATTAAGCCCATGGGGGCCCCTCCTTCATTACCTCACCTAAATCTAATTACTGTGCAAAGCCCTCACCTCCAAACTCCAAATACATATGAATTTTGGGGGATAACAGACATGTTTATAACACAGAGGTACCCAAATTATTCGTATATTGAGTACTTTGTCTTCTATTTATATTACTTTAAATTCATCTACATTATCTGTAAGACCTTTCTTTTAAGTTGGAAATTTTATTTATGCTCCGTTATCTAGAGTTTCAAGTTGTATTGAGTTTTAAGTTGAGGTATAATGAGTTTTTTGAATAAATACTGTTTGTTCTTTGCTGCTTTTGGTTTATGACTTCTTTAATGATGTTATTTTAAAAATTAATTTGTTTCTTTAGGATTGAAATTTCCCTTTTAATCTTTTCATTATCTCACCTTTGAGATTTTGTTATACTGAATTATATTCTGATTAAATTTTAAAGCTTGAACAGGTGTGGGCATTTTTCTCCTGTTCCTTGGTTATACTTTTGTCTGACCTGGGTTCTGTCTGTATCTTTTGCATTGTCTTCCTTTATTTTATTAATTTTGGGGGAGAGGCTATAATATGTTTGCTTAGTTGCCGTTCTTGTTTTACTTTCTGATGTTCATGCCTAGATAGCTTTCTGAGATTTCTATTCTGTATTTTCTCTTCTGTCAGCACCCTGAAAAAATGGTGGTAGAGGGAGCAGGGAAGTAGAGATGGAGTTGGAGTAGAATTAGGTTAAGAATGTGGGCCGGGCTCTGAGGCTCAGCCTGTAATCTCGTGCTTTGGGAGGCCGAGGTGAGTGAATTGCCTGAACCCGTGGGTTCGAGACCCGCCTGGGCAACTTGGCAAGACCTCATCTCTACAACAAATCAAAAAAAATTAGCCAGGCGTGGTAGCGTGCGCCTGTAGTTCCAGCTACTTGGAAGCCTGAGGTGGAAGGATCGCTGGAGCCCAGCAGGTCGAGGCTGCGGTGGCCGGGAGCGGCCACTGCACTCGTCTGGGCGACTGAGTGAGACTCCAACTCAAAAAAAAAAAAGAATGTGTGTTGTCTTTTTTTAGCTTATGAGGGCATTCCCATTTATAAAATTGTGTTAAATATACTGTACCAGACTTCATTCCACATGGTCTGAGGTGTTGTTTCTATCCAGAGGAGGGATACTCTTGAGCCTTAGATGTCCCTTCTGTTTGTCATATGGTTCTCAGAGCCTGCACTTTCACTAAAAACCACCCAGTTTACTTCCCTTTTTCATTATTCTTCTTAGGACTTATTGCCATTATATGACTTTTGGAGAAATTAGGAGTCTCACTGTGCTACATTTCTCCCTTCCACCCCAGAATCTTGTTTCTTTCTTGATGACAAGCACCTTTTAAAGCATTGTGTTAGCTATAAAACTTTTTCTTGCATAACTGCTGAATTTTTCTCTTTGCTGTTCTTTTTAGTATTTTTTGTTCCTTCAGATATTAGAGAATGGATGCTACAAGGCACCTTTATTCTACCTTCTTAATTCAGAAGTTCCCCTATAACATTGAGTTTTCAGTTGCACTGAGTTTTGAGTTGAGTTGTAGTCAGTCTCATGAAAAACCTAACTTTCCATTGTCTTGAGCTTTTAATTTTCATTGAATTGCAAAATTTTTTACACCTTCCATGACAAGTCATTGTCTAGCTTCTTTTGAATCAGACCTTTCCAAAGCCTTTTAAAAACATCTTAATTTTTTAAAAGTATTTTAATTCTTAAAACATTTTTGACTAGGTAATATAGTCATATGGTTCAAAATTCAAGAGGAACCAAAAAGCATGGAGATAGTAAAGACTCCTAACCCTGTCTTTCAACAAATGTCTCTCTCCAAAAGCACCTGTCATCCCTTTCTTGTATCCTCCTAGTGATATATTATGCCAGTGTAAGCAAAAAACAAAATATTTCCCTTGTGTTGTAACAAATGGTAATGCACTATACTTATTGCTTTGCTGTTTACTTTTTCACTTATATGTTGGCAATGCCTTTTAAAACATGAAGTAAGTTTCTATTTTGAGGAATTCTAAAATGGCAAATAAAGGTGGACTGAAAAGTGATTTATTTATAGTAGAATAAAATGAAAGCGTAAAGATGAATGAACTTGATCCATATAGATAGTTTCTCAAAAGTAGGGTGGATATTGAAAGAAGCAGAGTTCAAAGGGATACTTACAGTAAAATGCCACTTATGTATGAGAATTTCAAAAGGATATTGGATGATGTGTATTATTTATAGATATATATAAAAGTATGTGTAGGAATGCTGCAAATTAAATTTAGGATTGGAATTGTTTCTGTGAAAGGTGGTAGAGGAAAGCAATAAGGGGGAGGGCCTTGAGCTATATATGTCATATTTTGTCTAACAAAAGAGAGATCCCAAATAAACACGACCAAATGCCAATCTCAAGTCTGAGTGGTGAGTACATGGATGTCATGTTATTTTCCTTGTTTTTTGGTATATTTGAAGTAGTTCAGAATTAATTAAAAGCAAAAGAAATAAAAATAATATCTACTATTTAGTATAGAAAGTGTGGAAACTATAGAAAAGAAAAAAGATGAAGCCAGGTGTGGTGGTGCATAACTATAGTCCTAGCTACTTGGGAGGCTGAAATGGGATCACTTAAGCCCAGAGATATTAAGGCCAATCTGGGGCAACATAAAAGAAAGATGATAAAAATAAAACATCTATAATCACTTCACTGCCCTTAAGAGAAAACTTTATATTTTAGTATTTTTTCTTCCATCTTTTATCCTAGGGCTATTTGCATATATCAAATGTATGTATTTTTATATCATTGAAACCATGCCATAATTTCTGTCCTAACTTTAAAAATTTTTTTCATGATGGTAAATCATGTCCTCAATTGTTACTAGCTTTGTCATTATCACTGATTTCATAAATAATGTTTAATCACTAGGTATTATGTTGTATGAATATACCATAATTTAACATTTAGAACATTTAGTTGTTTCCAGTTGTATATAATGATCCTTTGAGCATTTTTTCTTTCATATTTTTATACTTGATACATTTTGTCAAAGGTTTCACATCTACTGACTTAGACTAATGTATACTCCAAAGAGTACTAGGATTGACTTTTGTTTTCTTATTTTTTTCCCCATAGAAGATTCTTGGTCATCAATTTTGCGTTTAGTTATATATTATACATCAAAGGTGCCCAAAAAATGTATATACATTTTAAGAGATGTTATCTATGTATTACTTTTAGAAGTTGAATTGAATTACAGTAGCAACATGTAGTATGACATTTGCCCTAAAGATGGTATTAAGCAAATGATTGCTAGCATCACCATGAGACAGGCAGGACAAAGAAAATGGCAGAAGCACGGTTGTCCTTCAAGGAGGGCAAGACCATTTTGAATTGGTATTTGAAATTTGAGACTGTTGTGGAAGTACAGGGACAATGAGTATGCAACAGAACCTCCAACACCTAATAACTGCACCCATTCGTGATAAGTTTGAGACATATGGTACTGTGTGTGATGTGCACAAGGGAAGAACTGGGAGGCCTTGCACAGCAACAAGTCCTGCAGTAGTTCACGGTAATCAGAAGTGTCCGGATACTGACGGTAACTACTCTGAGCACCTCTTATAGTTGAAGAAATCAAATGTGACTTGTATTCGTCTTTCGTTATTGGTAAACCAGATATTGAGTATTACAATTTTAATACAGTTTCTTCCTTTCTTAAAATGTGTATACATTTTTTGGCACCCCCTGAATTATTGTTAGAGTATCTTGTAGCATTCAAATTAAGAACATGCTCCAGAAGAGCCCTAAAGTAGATAGGACTTGAATTTTTGATACTTTAACAAAATCTGCAACTTCTTTGAAGATTCAGAATGAAAAATGACTTTTCAAGAAGGAAAGTTAACAAATGAGTTATCAACAACATTTTATATTTTTTAAAAAAGATTTCTTTTCAATTTAGTGTTAGACCAACTCCAGATAGATTATAAAAGCATAATGTTAGGTGCCAAATTTATTAGATAATAAATGTAAGATTTGACATATTTTATATTTTAGAATCTTTTCGCTTAACATGAACATATTTTTAAGTTTTCTATTGTGGTTGTGATTCATTCCTTAAGATCACAATATAGCAATATTTTTAATATTAAAAATTACATTTTTATTTCCCTAGAGAAAAAAAGTTTTAATTTCTTATTTGTCTGTACTTGAATTTCTTTTTTTAAAACCTTAACTTTTTCCTTTTATTTTTAGTTGGCATGTAATAATTGTACATATTTATTGAAATACAGAGTGATACCTTGATACACTTTAATTTCTTAGGGTCACAAGCCAATTATGTTGAGAACTCAATATCGTTGCCATCCTGCCATCAGTGCTATGGTTAATGATCTGTTTTATGAAGGAAACCTCATGAATGGTGTTTCGGAAATGGAGAGGAGCCCTTTATTGCAATGGCTGCCAACCCTGTGTTTTTATAATGTGAAAGGAGTGGAACAGGTAAGTGACATTAATATGGTAGTAGTCAACATGGTTTAGTTTCCTGGTTTAATTTTATTGCTGTTGTTTGTATGATTTTATGTGGTCTTTCCATGGCCTTTCTGGGAAATGTAATTCAGAATCTGTTTCTTACTCTAGATTGAAAGAGATAACAGCTTTCATAATGTGGCAGAAGCTGCTTTTACACTCAAGCTGATTCAATCACTGATTGCAAGTGGAATAGCAGGCTCTGTGATTGGGGTGATAACATTATACAAATCCCAGATGCACAAGGTTTGTATTACCTATTACAACATTTGTCATACATTCAGTATTACAGTTATATATTACAATATTTGATATTACATTTGTTGTAGTTTGATTTGGTGCTTGAAAAACTTTTGGTACTATAATTAATGTATTAAAAAAGAAACATTCTGATTTTTTTCTGGTCTGGCTTTTTTTCTGTATAATTAAATGTAAACCTAACAAGGCTTAATTAAATTTAGTTTACAGCTGTTGGGGCAAAAATGCAAATAAACAAATTAGAGGGAAGAAAATATGGTGTATGCTTTTGTGGACAGATGGGATCGAATCTCTGTTTTCCGAAATGTTCTTTGATTATTATTACATTTTATTGTAAATCAAGGATAGATACCAGATATTAATGTACACATGAGCCAATTACTTCTAACTAGATTTTTTAAAGCATTTTTTCATCTATTTCATTATTAGTTTATCAGCTCCAAATTAGCATATCCAAATGAGTTCCCAGCAATAGCTAAATCATCACTTTTGATTTTGTTTCATAATTAATATTGTCATCTAGTCATTTATCTGTCATTTTATACGATCCAGCCAAGCCTATGTGAGTCATAAAAGAGAAATAAAAATTATCCACTATTAGTTTACTTAAAATGGTTGCTCTGAGCAGATTCAGAGGCTTAAGTTCTTCATGATCTCTGCTCCACATGATCCCTGTCTTCTTTCCTCCACAGCTTTGTCATTTACTTAGCACTGTGAACTTTGACCATCCTGATATTAAAATGGTGCAGGTGTCCACAGTGGATGCTTTTCAGGGTGCTGAAAAGGAGATCATTATTCTGTCCTGTGTAAGGACAAGACAAGTAGGATTCATTGATTCGGAAAAAAGAATGAATGTTGCATTGACCAGAGGAAAGAGGCATTTGTTGATTGTGGGAAATTTGACCTGTTTAAGGAAAAATCGACTATGGGGGCATGTGATCCAACACTGTGAAGGTAAAATAAAAATATGTTTAATTCAAGCATTTCTAATTAAAACTGATTTTATGGGTTTCTGCTTGGGGCGAGTCAAGCAAGAACCACTCTGGATTTGCCACTGTGGGAGGTGACTGACTATTCATATCTCCCCCCAAAATCTGGAATTATCTTTTGGAGGGCGGGCCCCTTGTAGTACACTCAGAATTTGTTCCTCTGGTTCAAATGGTCAACCAAAGTTTTTATCTGGAAGTTTGAGAAGGTTGCATCGTGATTTGCAGAAGAAACATCTTGAGTTGTGGCAAACAGATGACTGGTTCTTCTACCCTGACACCACACCTGCCCACACCATGCTGAGTGCTCAGCAATTTTGACCAAAATGGCATGCCCCCATGTCCCACCTTCCCTATTCACCCAATCTCATCCTGAGTGCCTTTTTTTTTTTGTTTCCCCGGATGAAGAAAGTTCTCAAAGGGAAACATTTTGCTGATGTGGAAGAGGTGATGCCAAAAAAAAAAAAATGACAGAATCATTAAAAGGCATCAAAATTGATGAGTTCAAAAACTGTTTTGAGCTGATGCCAAAAAAAAAAAATGACAGAATCATTAAAAGGCATCAAAATTGATGAGTTCAAAAACTGTTTTGAGCACTGGAAAAAGTGTCTCAGTAGGTATATGCATCAAATGGAGAGTACTTTGAAGGTGACTAAAATTTCAACATATAAGAATAAGTACACAATTTTTATAAATAAGTTCCATTTTGGGGGGATTTTCATATATAGTATGTAATATAGGACCACTGTAAAGAATAATTGTCTCATGTTTTATATCTTTTTAAGGAAGAGAAGATGGATTGCAACATGCAAGCCAGTGTGAACCACAGCTGGACCATCTCCTTAAAGATTATTTTGAAAAACAAGCAGAAGAAAAGCAGAAGAAAATGAGTCAAAAAGAGAAATCTAAAGATAAACCTCATTCACAAAAAGACATGGTGTAGATGTTTTGTATTTGTGTAACTTCAGATTCATTTTACACTGTATATTTTTATATTTATTACTCTAAAAATACTTTATAATACTTAAGGAACATACTAAACACATCTAAAATATTTACTCTTCCAAAAAGTGTACATTATTTATATTAGGATAGGTAGATGATGAAGGTAATACGAAATCCTACTAATAAAAATATATTTTAAAAAGTAATATAATATAAATTTTATGCACACTGTTAATCAGCAAGTGTGGAAAAAAAAAATAAATTTTACAAGGGGTAGGTGGTAGGAACTCCCAATGTATTTCAGTAATAAGTGAATATCTCAAAAGTTAATCTGTTAAAACACATCTACACAGTCAGAAACACCAACACCCTCCTTTCTGAACTCCAATTCTATCAGAATCTTTTAAAAAGAAATGTAATACTACACTATTTTATGAATGAAAGCATATTTACAATAAAACTTTTTAAAGTTTTTATTTTACTATAGAGATGTGGGGTACAAGTGAGGATTAACTACAATGAGTAGGTTGCATGTAGGTGAAGTTTGGGATTCCAACTGACCCTTACTCCTCCTGGTAGTGAACCAGGTACTCTTTGTGTTGTCACGGATCTCCCACCCTTCTTCCTCCTCCCTCCCTACCCTAGCAGTGCCCAGAGACTGCTGATCCCTTACTTGTGCTCATTTGTCTATTGTTCATGACCAACTTATGAGTGAGAATATGTGGTGTTCAGTTCTTCGTTGCTGTGATTGATTGCTTCCTATGTTGATCTCTAACTCCATTCAATTTGCTGTGAAGTCCATGATTTTGTTCTTTACTATGACTGTGTAAATACTTCATTGTGTATATGTACCACATTTTCTTGATCCAGTCCACTTTCAATGAGCAGTAGGGTTGGTTCCATGTTTTTGCCATTGTGAAAAGCGTGGCAATAAACATGCGTGTGCAGGTGCCTTTTTGCTAGAACAATTTATGTTCCTCTGGGTATGTTCCCAGGAGAGGGATTGCTGGATGGCATGGAAGCTCAATTTTAGAACTCACACCACTTTTCATAGAGGTTGAACTAACTTGTGCCTCCACAGTGCCAACAGTGTAGAAGCATTCCTTTTTCACTGCACCTGCACAACATCTATTGTTTTTGACTTATTAATTTCTCTGATGATTAGCGAGGCTGTGCATTTTTTCGTGTCTGTTGGCTTCTTGTATGTCATCTTTTGAAAGGTGTCTGTTCATCTTCTTTGCCCACTTTAAAAAAATTTTTTAGTTTTAATTTTAATATTTTATTTTTTGAGTCAGAGTCTCACTCTGTCACCCAGGCTGGAATGCAGTGACACACTCACGGCCACCTCAGCCTCAAACTGCTGGGCTCAGGTGATCCTTCCGCCTCAGCCTTCCAAGTAGCTCTAACTACTGGCATGTGCCATGCCTGGCTACATTTTTTTATTTATTGTAGAGATGAGGTCTTGCCATTTTGCCCAGGTTGGTCTTGAACTCCTGAACTCAGGCATTTCTCTCACCTTGGCCTCTCAAAGTGCTGGGATTACAGGTTTGAGTCATTGTGCCTGGCCCTCTTTGCCCACTTTTTAATGGTTTTTTTTCCCCCCTTTCACTTTATTTTAGCTCTTGTAGATCCTGGTTGTTAGGCCTTTGTCAGATGCATAGTTTGCAAATATTTTCCCCCATTCTGTGGGTTGTCTCTTTGTTCTCCTAATGGTTTCTTTTGCTGTGCAATAGCTTTTCAGTTTGATGAGATCCCACATGTCTATCTTAGCTTTTATGGAATTTGCTTTTGGGGACTTGGTCAAGAATCCGTTGCCTACTCTGATGTGCATAAGGGTGTTTCCCTATGTTTTCTTCTAGGATTCTTATAGTTTGAGGTTTTATATTTAGTTTTTTGATCCATTTTGTGTTGATTTCTTGTATATAGTGATAGGTAGGGGTCACAAAAAACTTTTGAGAAGTACAGAAGAGAAGAAAGAAAAACACTAAAAATTCACACCTACTTGGAGATAGCCATGCTTAACACCTGGCCATGGCCAGTGCCTTGCACTATACTTAGTATAGTAGGTGCTTAATAAGTATCCAGTGGACAAATGCACAAATGAATGAAGGACTACCTTTGACTCATTTCCTTCTAATTTTTTTATGTGCATTTATTTGCACATAGTTATTAATATATAGTAAGTATGAATTAAAACTTTTAAATTATAAAAATAGTACATTCTCCTTTTAGAAAATTTGCAGAAGCTGGGCTCAGTGGCTTAACCTGTAATCCCGTGCCTTTGGGAGGCTGAGGTGAGTGGATTGCCTGAGCCCGCGGGTTCGAGACCCGCCTGGGCAGCGAGACCTCATCTCTACAATAAATCAAAAAATCAGCCAGGCGTGGTAGTGCATGCCTGTAATTCCAGCTACTTAGAAGGCTGAGGCGGAAGGATCGCCAGAGCCCAACAGGTCGAGGCTGCGGTGGCCGGGAGCGGCCACTGCACTCCAGTCTGGGCAACAGAGTGAGACTCCAACTCAAAAAAAAAAAAAAAAGAAAAGAAAATTTGCAGAATACAAGAAAGTATACAAAAGGAAGCAAAAGTCACCTAGAAAGCCACTATGCAGAGATAATCTTTAACATATTGCTTCAGTCTTTTTTCTAACAGACACTTTTTTCAGTCTAACAGACACTTCACATGCACACACGTTTTAAGCCATTTGAGCCAATACTAATTCTTAGACATTATTAACAAAGAACATTTACATATCCCAGGTGGAAAAATGACAAGGGCTTATTTATAATTAATATCAATGAAATATTTTACCAAGTAAAAAATCTTGCAAGTCACTGCATATTTATTTTAAAGATGCAGACAATTGCTTACTTGAATTACTTCACAATAAAAAAAAATGACCAGTCAACCTCTAGGGAACTCTTATGTTAGGGAGAAAAATAAATTCAATAAACAAAACTGGTTTAGTCATTCTCCAAGCTTTTCCCAAATGTATTACTGATTGCAACAATTTCTCATTTAAATGTTCATCCAAACTGTGAAATGAAAGATGTAACTCTCAACAGTTCCTTACAATGGGAAAGGAATAGCTGATGAAAGTGTTACACAGCCATGCTTTACCTATGAACAATAGTCTGACAGTATTTAAGCTAGATTCCTAAATTTTGCTGCACAAACTTTGCTTTTTGTTCCTTTTTTTTTTTTTTTAGTTTAGTTCTATTTTTTACCTTTTGAAAACATAAGGAACCAGTTGCTTTTTGTTCTGTTTTTTTGAGTAAGAATCTCACTCTGTCACCTGGGCTGGAACCACAGTACCTGGCTGATTCTGCTTTTTTGCTTTTTTTTTTTTGAGTTGGAGTCTCACTCTGTTGCCCAGGTTGGAGTGCAGTGGCATGCTAATGGGCCACTGCAACTTTGACCAGCTGGGCTCAGGTGATCTTTCTACCTCAGCCTTCCTAGTAGGTGGAACTACAGGCACATGCTACCATGCCTGGCTAATTTTTCTTTTTTAAATTTATTGTAGAGATGAGGTCTTGCTAAGTTGCCCAGGCTGGTCTCGAACCCCTGGTCTCAGGCAGTCCTCTCGTTTTGTCCTCCCAAAGTGCTGGGATTACATGCTTGAGCCACTACACCTGGCTGTTTTTTCTTAATTTGGAGTTTGTTCTGGGGCTGGGTCTCAAGTAATTTTTTTCTCAAGAAGAGTCTATAGGTGATACATTTTTTGAGCCTTTGTATAGCTGAGGATACATTTCTGTTACATACACTTATGAGGGTATCTAAACACTATAGAAATTGCCCTTGAGGTCTCTTTGCACAGTTCCTTGTCTTAACTCCTACTGGCTTTTATCTAGAACTGCTCACAGACTGACATAATCCTCTGTTACTTGTGCCTGCGAAATTATTAGTTCCTCTCTATCCTCTACCTTTAATTTTGTCTGTTTTCCAGAAATTTCAATTTCAGTGGTGATGTAGGTGTTGATGGTATAGAACAGGATTTCTCAGCTTGATCACTCTTGACATTTTGGACCTGGTAATTATTTGTTATGGGGCTGTCCTGTGCCTCAGAGGATGTTTAGCAGCATCCCTGGCTTCTGCCCACTGGATGCCTGTAGCACTTTACCCCCCGAGTTGTGACAACTAAAAGTATCCCCAGACATTGCCAAATATCCTGGTGTAGAAGGTGGGCCCAGTTTTCCAATTATCTCGGAAAGCAGCAACTGCACTTAAAAGTATAGCTGCCCTTGTTTTTTTGGTTGAGATAAATTGTATTTTTGATTCAGGCAATAGTTAATACAGGAGAGCAAAGGGTCTTTTTAATTTTAGTTGGGCATGCCTCCTCTGTTTCTATACAAGTAGTCTCCCGATTATGCTCCATTCCATCATCCTGGCAGTTCATGACTAACCCTCTGAACTACAATGACTTCTCCTCCCCTCTCCCCCTTCTTCTCCTCCTCCTCCTCCTCCCTCCTTCTTCCTTTCTCCTTTCTCCTTCCTCCTTCTTTCTCCTGGGCTCACAGGATCCTCCTGCCTCAGGCTCCTGAGTAGCTGGGACTACAGGCCTGCACCACCTCACACAGTTTCCTCTGAACTTCTCACAATAGGTCATCTATTAGTGCCAAATTTTTATTGTATGTTTCACAATTTTAATGTGGCAGAGGCTACTGAAATCTTTAAACAGGAACACACTGAAATATTGATAATAACTTTCTATTCAACAATATTTCTCTTGTTTAGAAATAAGTTGGAATAAATGCTATAGCATAATAGATGACTAAGAGATTGATAATATAGCATACTACTATTTTTGCTAAGGGGTAGCGATATCCTATAACTCCATAGCTGGCTTTTCCCTTTTTCAGTTTATAGAATACTATAATTAACAGAAAACTGAAACCCAATTAACAAAAAGTAATGTTGGCCTTGCAGAAGTGTTTCTAGACCGACCCCTTCCACTCCTACCAGTCCACCTGTATGGCTCACTATATTAAGCAATTTTTTACACCAGGCACTTGAGGAAAGGAAAAGTAATGGTGCGGTGGGGAGGGAAAAGAAGGAAATGGCTTTGTCTCTGTTTCCTTGCTGCCCCCATTCCCTTA